TTTTCAAGGAGTGGTAGTAATAATAATAATAATAATAATAATAATAAACAATTACGTGAGCTATCGAAGCGATAATTTCCCCCTCTCCCCTTCCCCCCGTTGAAAAGCATTTAACGAAAAAACATTGTAACGATTTTATTTCTTTTGGCACCGAACGAAAAAAAAAAAAACCTTTCTTCCTATATTTCCACGCAAAGGATTGAATTTTTTTTTTTTTATTTAATAAAACAATATTTTTCGCCACATAAATAAATTTCATCACTATCTAAAATCTCTCGCAAGTTACATTTTGTGAAAAAAAAAAAAAAAAAAAAAAAAAATGAGAGGCAAGCTCGTGAGAGAAAGTGATAACAAACGATTTTTAACGCGGATCAAAAATAAAATGTGTGTACGGGGAGGCAGGGAGGCAGGCAGCCAACCTTACTAAAACACAAAATATATGTCGTAAATATCGACTCCGGGATTTTCTTTGACGTCATAAATTTTCACTCCCTTTGGGTTTATCAAATCCGACCAAATTGTCTTAGTCTTGTGGACAAATGTAAGGATGCAAGAAATCCCTTTAACAAAAGGAAGAAAGTCAGTCAATCTCACGCTTTTACAAGGACATTTAATAAAAAAGGAGGCTCCTCATTTTTTTTTTATATCAGATCGAAATGTATCGCTTGTTTTGAAATCGAAAAAACTCACACGCACGCACGCACCCGAACGGGAAAAAAACGGAAAATTGCTCATCGTCAGACGAATTATTCGGTCAAATGTGCTGCTGCTCTCTCATCATCATCATCATCATCATCATTTACGCTCTTTTCTTTTCATTTCTATTCAATCCATTATTTTCCTTTTGATGTTGAAAAACGTACTTTTATTCGTGAAAAGGACAAACAATGAAAAAGCTTTAATTTTCTCTCTCTCTCTCTCTCTTTCTCCGGATTATAAATTTTTTATAATATAATCCATAACGACAACAACCGAAACAACACCGCCCTCGCTCTCTTGAATAATAGCAAAAAAAAAAAAAACGAAAACGAAAACGAAAACTAAAATTAATATGCAAATGTGTGAATAATGATGATGTTTTATATACACAATTCCTTTGGGGTTTTTGTTCGTTCGTTTTAAGAGAGACCTCCGGACATTTCTTCCGGGATGTTCTCCGTTTCAGGCGCCGTTCCTAACCTATCTTCCAAGCACGTCAAAACAATAAAAACGTATGCATTTATGTGCATGTGTGCGTGTGCGAGTGGTTGCATATATATAATGAATAGTTAATAAATAACAAGTCAACGAACCCCGCCGACCCAAATAATCCTTTCCTTTTTCTTTTTTTGGGAAAAAAAAAAAAAAAAAAAAAAAAAAAAGATTTTCTAAAGGAAATGAGAATATTTTACTATTTTTATCCCCTTGGCAAAAAACCATTTGAAACAAAAAAAAAAAAAAAATGGCGCGGGTGATAATAAATGAAGACAATACACGCGCGTAAATTCGATATTTTCGTTTTTCCTCGTAAAAAAAAAAAAAAAACACAAAAAAAACCCAAAATGGAGTTTATACATCCCTCGTGTAAAATTTATAAAAATAAACTACCCAATTAGCCTTTTAATAAAAAAGGTAATTTGTTCCTTTACGAAAAAAAAAACGTTCGGTAAATAATAATAATAATAATTTTTTGCGGTAGGTGGGAAGGGGGGGGAAATTAGACGGCGCGAAAAAGACGGAAATCCATCGCCGGGTGGTAATTAAAAAAAAAAAAATTTTTGGATTCGATTCTCGAATTATTTTTCTTACTATTAAAAATAAACGGACGACGGCGCGTTCGAGTCATCACATAATTGAACGGTTAGAGAGAGAGAAAATGAAATCATATCGATATTAACTCGTTAAAACTTTTTCCTTTTCTTTATTTATAGGGTTAGAATATATCCTTCACGCGAATCAAATCGCGAAATGACTTAACAACTCGATGGCGAGACAACAACCCCAAAACAATTATAAACCCCCTCTCCCCCCCCTAGTAAAATTGGAACAACTTTTGAAAACTTAAATTTTTTTTCAGGTTCGACAAATCAGCACACACACTCACGCACACACGCACACGAAATAAGTTCGATTGAATTGGGGGGCAGGAAAGGTGTCAGAAGAATACCTTAATCATTACCTTACGACCGATCATTCTCAATTATTTTCTGCAACCTTTTGCTTTAACAATTCGTATTTGATACCCGAACGGTTTCGATACCTTAACCTTTGAACTCCAACAGCAAATTCTACTTTTTTTAAAAATTGAAAACGATTCCATAAAATTCGAAACTTTAAAAATTATATTTGCCCCCCCCTTCCCTTTCCTTCCCTTTTTCTTTCGCCTTCATCGTATATGAGTGTGTGAGTGTGTGTATCGAATCAAATTACAAATAAAAAAAAAATTTTAAACGTTTCCGGATATCCCAAATAATAATAATAATAATAATAATAATGATAGTTATTTTTCTTTCATTATCATTATCATTGTCGTTGTTGTTGTTGTTGTTGTCATTTACCGATTGTGTTACTTTTAAAAGCTTGACTTGTAGTAATGGATAACAGGGAAATATTTTTAAAGTGTCACATTCAGTTAAATATCCATTACAAACAATCGAACGCAAATAATAATAATAATAATAATAATAATAGTATTAATAATAATAATAATAATAACAGTCATTTCGTTTTAGAATCGTCTGTCGTCGTCATATTAAAAAATTAACACAAAAAAATTAAAATTATTAAAAACAAAAAGCAAGAAACAAAAAGCGGGGGGAGGGGAGGTGGAAATGAAAACGAAATAAATTTTTAAGTATTTATTATCAGGTGTTACCTGATTCTACCTGTAAAAAGGGTGGAAGAGGAGGCGGGGGGGTTAAACACCGTATTAACAATGGCCATGAGAGTAAACAAATGCCATAAAACACCGCCGTCGTGAAAATTATCATTATTATTATTATTATTATAATATACGTAAATAAACAAAATGTAAAAAAAAAAAAATATTTAAATAAAAATTAATATGACCAATAAAGAAAAAAAAAAAAAAAAATTATTTTCTCTCTCTAAATAATAATAATAATAATAATAACTAATATTTTTGCAAATTCGATATGATTCGATATTTTTTTTTTTCAAATAGGAAATATAAAATAAATATAATGCAAGGTCGATTGTAGAGGCCTTGATTATTATTAGTGAGCCAGAGTCAAAATTTCAAATAGTGAGACAGAGAGAGGGAGAGGGAGTGAGGGAAGGGAAGGGGGAAGGGGGAAATTTTTTACTCAGTTTTCAACTTGCTCGTGTCTATAGGTTTGAATTAATATTAAGTACTAATGAAATGTATATATATGTATGCTCCCGTTAAAATCACAACGCACAAAATATAAATAGAATTCGATTCGTTTTCTTTTTCTTTCCTTTTTTTCGTTTTTACTTTCCGGCATAGAATTAAATAAATATAAAAACTAGATAATAAGATAATAATTAATAATAAAATTTTTTTTTCTGGTGTAAATTGATGATTCTGACCTAGTTGGGTCTCAATGAATGAGTTTAACCATAATGTAATTTTTGAGTTAAAACCGTAACGAAACTTACCAAATTTAAGTTTGTGACGTCTGTCATATTTTCCTTTTCGGCATTAATGCAAACAAAACAAAAATCAACACAAATAAACACAGAATTACTCACAAAAAAACACGAAAATTTTTAATACACACACACGACCGCCATTTTACGTTTTTCTTGTATTAATTCTTTATTCGACCGACAGGAGATTTATTGGCAGCACATACCGTGTTTAACTTGTAAATTTTTTCAACTTTCATTATTCATTAAACGTAACGGATTTTTTTAAATTTCAAATTCTTCGATATGTTTTAACCTGTTTGACGTATTAATTTTATATTTTCACGTAATAAAATTTGTTTTAAAATAAATGAAATAGAAATCCGGTAAATGTTTTGAAAAATGTTTAAAAACGTGCATTTTTATTTTTTTCATATATAAATTTCCATTACTTTTTATTTTTTGTCACACGTTTGCCGCACGATAAACTTTCGAGTTGTTTAATTACTCTATGACAAAACAAATCCTTAATGCCATTATTACATCTTGACTAAAATTTTAGTTGAATAGAAAATAAGTTTTTAAAAAAATGTATGTGTAACTAACTATATAATTGTAAATAAACCCAAATGTTTAATTTGTTTAAAATAAAATTATAACAAAATCCATTATTGCCCTTATTTCTTTTTGTTAATTTGGTAAAAGTATTTGTACAAAATTATTTCAATATAAAAATTTAAAAAAAAACAAGTGTAAATGAATAATTTTTATATTTTGAAGTGTTTAGACATAATAATAATACAGAATATTTATTTAATAATTACAATAATCATTTATTATAAAATAAATTTTTTAATTTTACACGATTATAAATACCCTTTAAACTAAAAATTAAAAAAAAATACCTTTTATAAACGTTTATTAGTCTGCCCCTTTACTTTAATTAACATTAAATCTATAATGTATGTATTAATAAAGTTAATTAAAATAAATAATAATGATAAAAAAATTATGGATTTTATTTACTTTAATGTAATATGTGTTTCGTTAATTTCCTTCTTTAATTATTTTTAACAAAAAAGATTTGATTTGATTTTTTCAAATGAATTACGATGATAAATTATTACATTTTTTTTTTTTTTTTTTTGGTTTAAATATAATATTTGTTTTATAAATGGCGTTATTCGAATACTTTATGAAAAAATATTAATAATAATAATAATAAACTATCATTAAATTAATTAATTTCTTTCTCACCGATCAATAAAATATTTTCCCTCTTCTTTTTTTTTTTTTAATATAAAAACAATAATGTGTAAGTTATGAAATTTCTTTAAATTACATCATGGATAATTCTTTTACAATAATAATAATAATAATAATAATGTAATACTCTTATCGATTATTAATTATTGTGCTCCGTGAAATATACGTCTTAATAATTTTTTACTCGGTGCATAACGTTGTTCTCTTTTAAATGCTTCTGCTTTCTTTTTTTTTTTAACTTCTGTCCAATGTGTTATGTGATTTGCCAATAAAACTTCTTTCGTAGGTTGATTTTTTTCCTAATCATAATCATAATCAATCAAGTAAATTTAAAAAGGGTGAATTATAATTTTTATAAAACTTACATTTTCCGATGGAAGCTCAAATTCTTTTTTTGGAAATGTGGGTAATGGTACAGTCGAATTATCCGATGGTAGAGGAGCTGGTAAACCGTACACTTCTTTTAATAATAAATCTTCTAATTTAAATTTCTTACTTATTTCTCTCTTGTCTTCTTTTTTTATCTTTTTGCAAGAATCCTTGTTTAATCTTTACAAAAAAAAGAAAATAATAATTATATATATACAAAAGTGAGTTTTGGATTCGAGAAAATTTTTTTCGATACATTATTATTTATTAGTTTTAAAACCTTGAATTTACAAATGATCTCGGATTGTTTGCCATCCATGCTCGACATATCGGATAAAGTGGAGTGTTTTCTTCAAACTGTGCTAAATCAACACTTCTGTCGAAAAGTTTCATAACAAATGTATGTTGAAATGGAGTTTCTTTTATTCCCCCCAATTTATGTTTTTTTCTTTTCGGCATACATTTATCCCTCTCGCTAAAAATTTAATTAAATGTGTGAGCGTGTGTATACAAAGGTATGACAATTTTATTATAATTTTAAATAAACATTCCATTTTTTTTAAAAATAAATATTTAGAATTTAAATTTATTAACCTTTTTTTGTATGAGGTTTTAGCTCTGTAGTCTTCTGAATCAGTCGAATTATCACTATGTAAAGCTTGTAAGTCTTGTAATGCTCCTTTTAGACGATCTCTAGCATTTAAAGCTGCATCATATTCTTTACCTTAGATTTAAATATAATAATAAATAATTTAAAATTGTTAATTAATATCATTTTAATATGTTTTATGCATACCACTTACATTCTTCTTTGGGTTCCAATTTTATATTATCAACAGAATTAATTTTTTTCGACATTGTTCGTTTTAATTTATATGCTAAAAACTGAATGTGCTATCGATAATATATATAATCGTTAATAAAAACTGTTTATTTGCTTATTGTTACCGATTGTCTTTAAAACGAATACAACATACAAATTTCAATTAATGTTCAAAGTTATGATCCAATACAATATTTTACTTTATATCATTCTGAACATATTAATCAGTAATTATTTAAAAAGTGTGAGCTGTAATGTTTTAATCCTTAGAATTTGAATAGCATTATCATATATGTAAAATCATCATTTGAGCTGAGTTACAAAATAATAATGAAGCATATATACGGAATGAAAAATCCTGTAAAGCGCAAACAAAAGTAAAAATAAATTCATAGTCAAACATAATTTGTGAATGATAAAAAATAAGAAAACGCATTTAAAAACTTATTATCAGTTAATCGGTCGACATTTAAAATAACCGTAATTTTAAATACCATTGACCACGCAACCGTTATGAAAATATTTTTTTTTTAATATTCAAACGAATAACGAAAACCTTTATTATAAATTTTCATTTATTACGCGTTTATTCGAATCGTAACCGAGTGAAAATTTAATTCGTGCCAACGTTTTAATACTTACGTGAAAAAAAAAAAAAAAATTCAAATAATGAATTTTAAATAATAATTGTTTACTTTACATTTGTTTCAATATTTTCTAGAACGAAATTCGTTTATAATTTTAAGTCCCAGAAAAATTGCAAACACAGGGGAGAAATGTCAGAGTGAGGAGAGAAAAGAAAAAAAAAAAAAAAAAAAAATTAAATAGCTTCTTAGCAATAGAACACAACACTATACGTTTGTTTATATGGTTTTCAGTGTGCAAAATGGCGTAGCTCTTGAAGCACTTGTGTTTTGTTCGTTAGAATATGATTAACGGAGTGGGCTTTAGTTTATTATAAAATACCTCTCATTCCAGGAGAGAAAACCTTATTATTATTATTATGAGACTGAAAATATTTCTTATTTTTTTACTCTCTCATTTGAGATTTGATAAATCTCTAGGAGAAACCGGAGAAAAAGGTGATGGTGAGGACGCTTTGATTTAATTTTTTTATTTTATTTATTTTATTTTTATATATTATAAGTTTCAAATCCGAATCCAATTTAATTGTTTTATTAAAAAAAAAAACTAAAAATTCACTAAAAGGGTCGTAAACTATAATTAAAACAATGTTATTACTTTTTGTCATAATTTTTTTTTTTAAAAAAATATTTATTTTCTTTTAATTGAATAACTTGCCAACTTTAATGTTATTTAACAATGTCTTGTGTGTGTCTGTGTGTATTATTATTATTATTATTTAAAAAACAAATTCTTACTAATAATATAAAAAAAAAAAACATTCCCTGATTTAAATCATTTCTTGAATTATTTTTTTATCAATTATTATTATTTCAATATAAAAACATTCATTCATTCAACATGAAAATGTATTTATTTAAAAGTTTACATAAAACTTATTAAAATTGCCAATTTTTTTTTTTAATAATTTATTTGTGTGTGTAAATCAATAAATTATTTTTTTATATGGTGGTTAATATTAATTTGCTTTTGACTCTTTCATGATATTGCACTTTTGTGACCCCTTTTAATCTTAATAATAATAATAATAATAATAATAATAATAATTGCAACTTCAAGTGTTTCTTTCTTTCTTTTTAAATGAAATTGATAATGAAATTTCAAACTAGAGAGTCTAAAAGAAAAAAAACTTCAATATGATTATTATTATTATTATTACTCTTTCATTGTAATAACTTTTCATTATTTCAAATTAATTTTATGCCATATGACTCAATTGAAAGAGAGAGAAAGAGAGACCACACCAGAATATATTTTTGTATGTTTTGAAAAAAAAAACCACAGATAAAAAATTTATTACATTTATAGTTTGACTTGAAGATTACATAATTCAAACCAAGTGGAAAATTATTATATTAACAAAAAGTAGTCGTGGCAGTAGTGGTGGTAGTGGTAGTAGTGGTAGTAGTCAATAACATCCAACAGATAAAATTGACTTTTATACTTGTTTACATTGTTTACATCATGATTCTCTGATAGGGAGAATGTGTTTCTAATATGTTTTACAATTTTCATTTTGTCGTCTCAATGATTTTACAATTTGATTCCCTGAGAATTTAAGGGAAAAAAAAATAATAATAATAATAACACTCACTCACTCACTCACTCACACACAAATTCATTAACTCATTCAATCACTCAATCACTCACTCACTCAATTCAATTAATTATTGATATCAAAAGCAAAAGGAAAAGGGGAAAAAAAAATTGTTGTTTTTATTACTGTTATTATTAACAACAACGTTTTTCCCCTTTCCCCTTCTCCACCTCCTCCCACTCACCCCTCCCTCCCCGGCAAAAATATTATTTTTAACAATGTCGCGAGAATTTGTTCTCATAAAATATAATCGATTGATTGATTGATCGATTGATTAATTATCGACTATTGCTACTATTAATACTACTGTTATCGTTACAATATTTTCTCATGGAAAGCGTTTATTATTATTATTATTATTATTTTCATTATTATTAAATTTTATAGTGAATTAAAAAAAAAAAAAAAAAAAAATTAAAAGGAAACAATTAACGAATTTTTTTTTTTTTTTATTATTATAACACATGTGAAATAATTAATTTTAAATTTTTTAAACGTTTTTGAGTTCGATGTGGGAAAAAAAAAAAAATGATTTTTTTATCGTCCTGGATCCTGGATCCCAACTATCGAATGGTTTGCCCCCCCTCCCCCTCCCCCCAGTTCGTTTTTCGACTGGTAAATATATTTGTATACGCGTATAACATAAGATTTATTTTACTTAGTTGATAAAAAAAAAGGAAAAAAAAAATTTGGATTTCGATCAATTTATTTTATCGTTTGTTTGTTAGTTCAAAGTTCAAAATTTAATTATTTTGAATAATAATAATAAGAGAGAGAGAGAGAGAGAGAAACAACAACAACAACAAACAAATAAAAAGTGACGACGATGACGACTGAAACGGCGACAATTTAATTTTTTTTTTTTTTTTTAAATCCAATTCTTCACGTATACACTCGTATGTGTGTTATTATTATTATTATTATTAAATTGCAAAATTTAATAAAAGATTTTTTTATTATTTTTTTTCAAAACGACTACCGAAAAGCTTGCCTTTTATTTCCGCTTCCGTACCCCCTCCCCCTCCCACAAAAATAAATAAAAAAAAATAACAATAAAAAAAAAAAAAATTTTAAATTTTCCATGTAATGATAGAGTACAGTCAACAACACGTGACGGAATTTTATTGTGATATCAAACGCGAGATTTATTATTATTATTATTATTATTATTATTATTATTATCGTGGCTTTATATTTTTTTTTATTTTTTTTTGTGGAAACTTATCGTTTTTTTTTTTTTTTTAACCCTAAATATCATTCGAAAACTACGACTTTTTTATTTTCCCCCCATATTTTATGTGTAAAATGTTTCCCTTATCAATTCCATTACCTCGACTTGTTTTTTTTTTTGATATGGTTAATTATTGTCACGCGTGACGTATCATTTTCCGACAGCAAAAAGAGAAAACACTCGAATAAAGGAAAAAATGGGTGGAAAAAGTTCAAAAAAATACAAAAAATGGCGAATAATTTTACGATTCTGTTGCAATTTGACCATCTTTATTTATTTATTTCGTCGTTTTTTCAATGCGAAAAATGTTCGATAGAAAAAAAAAAACAAAGAAAACGTTTGTTTGTTTGTTTGTTTGTTTGCTTCTTCTTTTTCTTTGCTTGCTCTACGTTTGTTTGTTTTAAGAACGATGAAAAAAAAAAAAAAGAAAAAAGGTGCATTTAATTAAATTACCTGTGCAGTGTTAAATATAGAAAGAAATCGTTTGTTTTATTTAAATTTAAATTTTTTTGCGCGGGAAAAAACAAATAATAATAATAATAATAATAATGATGATGATGATGATGATTATGATTTGAGTGATGACGTTTTATTTCATACCTTAACGAAACCTTTTAATGATAAAAAAATTATTGAACGTTTTTTTTTTTTTTTTTTTAAATTATACATTTGTCTCTCTCTCTCTCTCTCTCTCTCTCTCTCTTCGCGATATCATTTTGTGGGAGACGAAACACGAAATTAAAAATTATTGACTCGACGTATCGTTTAAAATTTAAATTATGGTACTTGAAATTCGTTTATTATTATTATTATTATTATTATTATTATTATTATTATTATTATTATTATTATTATTATTATTATTATTATTATTATTATTATTATTATTATTATTATTATTATTATTATTATTATTATTATTATTATTATTTTCGAGTAGCATCAAACAATTTCTCGGTCGAATTTAAAATGGAAACGCCTTGGCATTGATTAGAAAAAAAAAAAAAAAATGCCGACTTTATTTATTTAATTTTGTGCAAACGATTGTACGAAATCATCTTCTCTTTTATTTATTTATTTATATAATTAATAATATCGATCGATCGATCGATCGATAATTTTATTTATTTATTTATTTTTGATAACAAACGTAGCAATTTTTT